TATTTGTTAAGCGTCAACTGCACAGGTTATTAGCTTTTTATAAAAATTTTACATTTTTACAATTTACATTTCATTATACAAATCGATATTTTTTAGATATAAGATTATATTCTGGTAGTTTGAAAATAGACCAGAATGTTAAATTATTTAATATATTAATTGGTTATTTTCATAAATTTACTTACTATACTTATGTAACTATGTAACAATCAATAGTTTTATTAGTTGTTTTATTGCTTGTTACTTTTTAAAATTGCACCGATGTATCGTCGTAAAAAAATAAAACCCAAATAAATTAAGAATTTATGTAATTGATATACCTATGATTAATACTTTCTTTCGAAAATTACAATACTCCAGTATATTCGACTCAGATTTACTAATTAGGCATAGGAATTAAAAACCCAGAACTTGTTAATATTCACAATAAGTCGTTAAAAATATACATGATAGAATTGATAGAAGATAGGTAACAAGAGACAAAAATCATTGTTATATACACTGGAAATGTTTTAAATGAATCGTTGAATAACATTTCACATATTATTATAATATATTAATATAAATTAGAATCTAATATATATTAATGTTTATCAATAATATATAGTAGTTTTAATTGAAATTAATCATTAGGGATAAGAGTAGATAATCAATATATTAATATAAATTAGCGGGCTGATAATAATAATAATATTTACTAATAATGCTGATAATTTTACTTAAATAATATTCCTTTAATTTAATTCAATATAAAATACATGCTGTAGAATCTAGAGCAAGACAAATTAAAAGTTTATTTTTTTTTAAATTACTATCATTAGTTACCACATTATACATTGTATTTTTAATTACAAAATATTTTGTTCTAATATTCGTTGTATTTATTATGAACGGTTTTATGTAAATCGCTGTAATATTGATAATAGTAATTTAAAAACGATTAAAGGTATAATATAATTTTGTGAACTGCAAATTACTTTCGATCACCGTGAATCTATAAATATTCATGCGTTTAAAAYGAGTACTTAATTCGATTTTGCGATATCAAAATATTACAATACAACGACGACGCGTGTGAATGATATTTTATTATATATCAGTGGTGAATCTTTATCCCTTATAGCTTGAAAACGTAAAATCGCTTTTTTTTCGACGAATATCGTGTTACAATTATGTATTATAAACTTTCAATCCTGAAAAAAATGTCTCGATTTTTAGTCCCGCCGCGTGTAAGTGTACTCCGAATTAATTCCCCACTGCAACACTCGAGTTGTGCCGCGCACACGTACGTGCGTGTAAAAAACTAAAAACATAAAACCACAAAAAGGTTTCAATTATAAATAGTTTATCTATAATATCCGATAGGTAGGTATTAAAAACGAAAAAACAACAACGACAACATTGGCGACGCGTATTATAAACGTGCCTACGACCTATCGGCCATATTATATATACATATACATTATACATTTATTTTATACTTAACAGGCTATGATGGGGGGGCTAGTGTAAGGTTTGAAATGTATATCAAGTACTGTAATATAATGTACATTGATGGGAAGCCATGTGTCCGGCGGCGGGTGAGGTTATCTGATCGCAAAGCTCATTTGGTATGAATGCAAACCAAACATTCCCCCCACCCACCATAATATATGTATATATCCACAGGCTTTTGTGGTGGTGGTCCTCTACTACGTCACAAGTCGTCTGTCGCGGGCTCTTCACCCATCAGCCACCATCGAGGCGTATTTTTCAACATCCAAAAGAGGCTACTCTACACCCACGCACACACAGGAGACTAATCGTACCGGCTATCTCTCCTGCACGCGGCGTATAGAGTGTATCTTATCGGCTTGCGACAATCACCACCGTGTAGCTACACATACACATACGTAATATTATAGTGTGTATACTGTACATGACGTTAATTATCGAACCCGTTAATCTATTCCCCGGTCGGCGATGGACAAAGAAAAAGCACTATATTATACCGACAAACGCGCGAGGTTCAGTAGGTAGGCAGGATAGTGATAGGAAGAGACAAGGAGGGAGAAGAAGTAGAAGAAGAAGGAGAAAAAAAACATTACAATAATGGTTCTCTCGTCCGCGGGGGGAACTTTGTAATGATTAAAAACTACTCTAGGTCGTTGTGCGCACATTACACACCCTTCTTTCGGTCACATAGATAACCCCCTCACCCCACTCACCCGCTGGTTGGGAGTTTGGTTTTCGAGTCGTATTCGTTGCGTGCGTGTGCAAGTGTTGCACGTGCGTATACGTGATGTGCCCGGGTGGGTAAGGTGTGTATGAGCTGCGGTAGGTACGCCGCAGGCCCGACCGAGTTTTAGTTTTCCCAGTCTGCCGAGCTGGTGCACGATGAGGTAATGGACTGTAAAGTAAACAGGGCATTAAAAGCCYGAACTCTAAATTCCGACGGTCCATTTGGCAGAATCTATAGTAAATGGGTCCGGTGGCGTACCTATATAATAATGACGACGATATAACGGCGGCGATGGTTTCGCGTAGATAAGTGGCCGCCGCCGCGAGTGATAGATTCGCTAGGATTTCCGGCGATATAATAATATACAGCGGATCGCCACCCGATAGTTACTTCCGGAAATAATGTTATTATACAATATCATATTTGTGTCACCAATATAATACTGTTTAGGTWTTTTTTTGTTTTTTTTTAAGGTTACAGCATCAACATCAAAGTTATCAGCTTTAAGTATTTATATTATATAAATGAAAAAATAACATAAAAAACATTTAAAACATTCATCTAAAATTCCCGTGCAATAAATTTTCAAGCAACACAAATCTAACGATGTCATATTATAATTATTATTAAATATTAAACTAGATCTACGCACACCAAATATAATGTAAATACATAACACTGTATCACTTAATTTGTAATCATGTAACATACAATCATAACTAAAAGTATCCATTAATATTATTGTATCTACAACCGTAGGCTAATGAYTGTTTATAGGCTGTTGAAGCATTATTCTCAATCACAAAAAAAAAAWTWWTWWTWAATTGTTCGTATACCTTACGAACACGTCATAGTTATTTTACGCAAATTATTTTTGCACCTTTGATCATATCAGAAAAAAAAACGTAAACACGGTGAATAAAAAAATAGCAATTTATAAAGGGCGCTTTAATCTCCTAAATTGATTGAACAAAAAATCACAGTACAAAATATTATGTACGTCACCWTATTGGAAACGACATTTTTCAGAATATCAATATAGAGCGTTTTATAAGTGCCTATTCTTTAAAATGAAATGCRTTCTAAATTAAAATAATCTTATTGTATGAAATGTATGTACAAATAATATTAATAATGCACAACATGTAACTTTATGAATGAAGTTTAAATATACTATTAWCAAACAACTGCAGTACTACCTAACTCCAAATCCAAACAATATGAAATACGATAATAGCGTAGTGGAATAATGTACAACAGCTTTATAAACTATAGTATTATATACCTTTTACGTTTTCGCACTTGATTTGGTTGAATATAATAACCAAAAGAMAAAATRATTTTATTTTATTATAGTTGTCTATTATAGCGTAGATAAATCTGCAGAATATTTGAAGAACGTTTTTTGAATTGATGATCTTCTGAAAGGAATACCTTGATAAATACGTTATATTTTTTTTTTTTACGTGTAGTCATGAATGTCATACAAATACTAGTACAGGTAGGTAGATATTGTGTTCAATTATTTTRCAATTATAATTAGTTATTTAAYTATTGTGTAAAAATTTATTTCTAGTCTTATTTTTCAAAAAGTTTTTTAACATTTTTCACTGACTTTAACACGTATTTTTTTTCAAAAATTAATAGTTGATATTTGGAATCTGAATTTCGCATTATGTTTGAAAATTAAATAAATACAAGTTTTTAAAAATGTTATTCAAGAATTTTGGGTTATTTAATATATTCTAAAAAAATTTTWAAATATGTGTGCCATTTAAGTTGATACAGACTATGTTATAACAATTTTAAAATTTGAATAATATCGTTAGAAGAATTATTTGAAAAATTTCACTCCAAAATTCAGCAAAACAAAATAATTTAACTACTGCTTACTGTATAAAACATTTCATTTAAAAGAAGCTTGTCGATTTCATCCAGCTGCATTATTATTATGTATTATTCTTGATTAGGCACAATAATTAAATACCAAACTAACACTGAATTAATTGGATCGTTATATAATTTTATCTAAATCCTCCAATAATATATGTACATTTTTTACAGTAGAAGGCAATACCATAATTTTAATATTTTTATTCGATGAAATTTTCTAGAACTTCTAAGTATAGAGAATKACTTAGAATTTTATTATATAATGCTTTGATTTATTAATCTTTACCTTATTACAACAAATATTTCTACCCATAATACCAACCATATTAAATAATATAGATCAGTAGGTATGCAGTATGTACGTTATACAATCAACTAGATTTTAAATTTAATTTAATGATGTTTAATGAACAATTCACTGAGTTTATTAGTTGATCCGATAATACCCTCCACAATTGTACGAAAACCTACGCGTAATTATTAATTAAGACGCATTTAGAAAGGGTTGATAATCAGGTGAAGACTTAAGAGTCCTTTTCATTGKTTTTGAATTTATTTTACGTTTTTGAAATATATTCAATATTATAACACATATGAATACTAACTATACAAAAAATAATAATCTGAGGTACCTATGTGTAGTGTATTTTATAATATAATATCATTATTTATAATGCGTATTTAATAATAATGCGTATACTACGAATAAAATGACCTGGTTACGCAAATATTTGCATAATAACTACCTACGTATTATGAATTTATATAATTATTATGATATTGTTTGTRTAAAGTTATTGATAAAATGGTTCCATAATATAGTTTCTCTTACATTTTACAGGAAAATAGAAATAGTGAAACAAACCCGAATAACTTTATACGCAGTACAAATATATCGCTTTTGCCGCTTTTGGTAGGTACGTTCTGTTATTTGTAAGTAGAAAATGTGAAACTTTGTACCGATAACTCAACATTTGATTTTAAATGTATATGTGCGATTTATAAAATGCAAAATTAAACTAAAAAAGGTGGAAAGTAGGTAACCGCTCTGCTGTTGAATGGGGTCGAGTGTACCTCACCATCGGTCACTGTAATAGATGTATTAAATTTTAATTCAATGATAAATCATTGGGTACAAAAAACGATTCTGAAYGGTGACTGTTAGGTTATATCACCAAGCATATTTTATGATAATATATTAATATTGTTACTATAGTAATTTATTTTACAATTAGTAACATAGGGATATGATAAGTTGAATTCATTTTTGACGACATCATTGCTTTTGAAAATATCATTTTCTGTAAAAAATATAATTATAGGTGCACGTTAAAATTACTGGTAGGGGTAATGTTATAAAAAAAATTTTTTTCGCTGAATTAAGCTTATTTTTTCACAACAGCAAGTTATAAAAAATCTCGCATTTAATATTCAAATCTTGATACAGTAGTGAGTATAAATAATATTAAATTTTTATTCATTTTGAGCTAGGTATTTAATAATTAAAATTTTTCAGCGATTTCGACGATTTCGTTAAAAGTCTAACTTTAAACTCTTATAAAAATATTTTTACTTTTTAAGAATTAATGTTTTAATTGTATCTAAGTATATGAACGCTTTGAAAGACCTTGTAATAAATTTTCAGTAATTTTAAACAATTGATTTCTTGTCGATATATTTTACATAAAATAATAAAATAAACATTTTATGAAAATWAGAAATGTTTACAATAGTTTGTTTTAATAAAAAAAATTAATTCGATTTCGATAAAAACTTGTTTTGCTTAAAAATTCCCGTTTTTCTTGTATTTTTTTTTTCATTTTTCGTTTATATAGAAAAATATTTTGACCTTCAAAAAGTTCTAACTAGATCCAATGTTTCCAAAAACCAAAGTAGGAAATTTGAAACATTTTCCAAGTATAAATCGTGTACAACWCACAACATTGTAAAATCAATACATTTATCGTATCGCTCAAAATAAAAATGGAATAAAAMATTCGTGCATATTTTTTAAATATTACCAGATAATTGTTACATTGGTCATACATAAGTATCCAATAACTTACTAAGCAACTATTTGCGTACATTCTGTCATTTTTAGGATCAACGACTATAAAGATTGGTACACCAAAATTTATAAAATATTATGTTTAGTTTATCTTATTTGTATAAAAAATATAATATTTTCTCATATTTTTCAAGAATTTAATATTATATACAAATTAGATCCTAATAATATAAGAAAATAAATTATATTAAAATATTGAGACTCAATTTAAAGTTTTAAGTTTGTACCTTTGTTTTATTTTCGTATTAATTTCAATCTTTAAATTAAATTAATCTCTTGCATAATTCAAAAAAGATTAAAAACACTAAATACATATTATGCAACTATAATTACAGTCAGAATTATAAAACAAATTTTTCTTTCATAAATATCRATAAAAAACGTAGGCTTATAAAAATATTATGTTGTTAAAAAATGTTAATTGAACGATAAGGTTATAAGGTATCAAATCATTTTAAAAAAATGTAAATTKCTTTTACCTAAAACTAATATTAGTTTATATCCCTTTGATGCTATCAGCAAATAATATGATTTACTATACTTTTATTATGTACTTTTGATTTTGACTGGTCAAATAAAGGTTTCACATAAGTAATTATAATAATAAAAATAGTAATATTTTTATTACAATATAAAACATTTTCAARATTTTTTATTATTCGAATAAATAAGTCTCAGCGTCTATGGCCATTGGCATACAAGGAGCTTAAGATTAACAATTTTTAAGAATACTGCAGTATTTACATTTTATAAAAACAAAAACAGATTATAAACTATTTATAAAATTGGTTATAATTAAAAACGTGACTTACGGAATCTGTATGGAGAGCATCCGGCATGATATTTGATCCCCCAGCTTTTTTCAAGATTTAGTAACTACATAAATATGCAATTAATTATTTCGTTTTAGCCCAATGTCCTATGTTGCCGAGGGTATATGTACGATTAAAAATAATATATATGTTTTCATTCATGAATACATTTTATGCTTATCGTTATTAAATATTATTTATTCATATATTTTTTAACACACACACACACACAAGAATGTGACTAAAACGATAAGCATTATAAAAACATAAAATTAAATTCTACCAAGTAAAGCTTAAATCTTGATTTGTCATAAACAGTATGGAAAAATACAAAAATCAAACAATATCTTATCATCAGATTTAAATTCATCATATTTATAGCCATTTTTAAGTTAAGTGTACATTAAGTATACTTAAAAATTTCAATTTGAATAAATTCATTAATAACGGGAAAAATGGGAGTGAACATCATACTTATTGGTGGATCATTGGGTACATAATACGAGGTTATATAATATAATATTATTGTATTATATATTATTACTAGGTAATATTATTACTATATTATTGTATATAATATGTAAACATAATATTATATAAAATTATTTTGTATGAATATTAAATTTATTAAGTTTTTAACATCAATGGTTATTATACTTTAATGCATGCTTAAATACAACTACAACTAAATAATATCTTACAATTTTATAATGTACATTATTGTTTATGGTACTTAGAATATAATATTATCAACTCTAATGAAATATTATGAAAATTTGTCATTCAAACAGTATAAATGTATATAATTACAATTTTTAATTTACAAGTTAATTCAATCAAAATACTCAACCCTGTCTCTGTTTTTACTTTTTTTTTTTTGTTTGTTTGCTTACTATTAGTCAATTGTTAATGTAATATTGCGTCCAATAATCATAGTTTCGGCGGACCGCTTTTCTTGAAAAAAAAAAATTATAATTTATAAATGGCTCCTTCTTATAGGAGTATTCCATTATTATTGTTTATTACGTATTTTTTTTTTTTTATAAATCTATACGATAAGGATTTTTCACTCGAAAAATAATCCCAAAAACTATACACAAATATTTTATRCACTAAATCTTGAATCGATCTAGATAACAATACCTACTTTATCTGTGTAAAAGCAGAGCAATTTTTTTTAACGCAAAAACTACATMATCTCTGAAAAACAAAAAGGTAAAATGTACTTTTTCTTTATATTGCGATATGCCATTCCGATCTTAAATTATTAACGGCTTTTGAACGGTTGAAGATATTATATTTAAGCCACCCTGATATTTCACTGCTGATAAGGTATAATTATGTCCATCGTCAAGTGAAATAGAATGTCGCAAGTATCCGCTATCGAYATATTGATATTAAACGTATACTTTTTAGAGTGGCTTATTGCATGAAAAGTTTTTTGTAAAAATAACTATAGCGCATAAGTTTAACTCTAAATATGTTCATAAAAAGGTCAGAATAGGTATACGTATATCGCAGCGTCCTTCTAAGAGTTCGATTCACTCATTTGACCGTGGCTTATATGGTCAGTTTTAATGAGATTTTAAGAAAATTTAAATTTATTAAAATAGCTATTCAACTAGGTATCTCTATTCCGCCATTRATGTTGTCAGTTGTTGCCTAAGARGTACGAAATTATACTGCCTAATAAAATACTCACATGAAAGCATGATARGTACATTTGTTATTTTGTACTGCAATTTTTGAGATAAAACACTCTTCGTACAATCGGAAGATGATAATAATTTATTGAAAATTACATACTACCAGTTAATTAATAGGTATACATTATTATGAGCTATATATTTAATAATATTAAAAATAACAACAACAAAAATTATTTTTTTTAAATATCTGCTGTTATTTTATTTTTTTTTCGGGTTGAGGCTTCGACAACAAGGGTTATTAGCCTGTGGAACTGTGGGTGAGGGAACTGTTGGTTTGGTACTCGTTGATGTTTTTGACAGAATTTATAATAGGCACCAGTAGGTTTCTGCCATGCCCAGGTGGGGGGGGGGGCGGAGACTATTACTTTTTTGTTACGTATAATATTATACATAATATTGTTTACTTTGTATTGTGTAACTAATTTGTGGCTATAATACACCCATAACGTCCTCTAAACGACAACGAGAGAGTACAACAACAACATCGTTAACTACGTGCAAATTGGAAATATCGCGACAAGTCTTCTCGCAAAGCACAATAATCTTATGACATGGGCAGTATAACCACTGTACCTATACATATATCCACCAGCCACCTACCTTCCTCCGGTCGATATGAAACTCCGCTGTTAATAGGTTTTGCGTAAACATTTGCATGGACTGTGAGTTCAGGACAATTTTGACACTTAAAATGACGCATATATACGATGRCATTTACATAATATTATTATACCATCGGTAGGCGTTCCGTTCAAAGGTGGAGGAATAATAACATAATCGATGAGAGTAAATGCGAAAAACGTCGGTTAAACAATCGAACAATAATAATAATTAATCAGCGGAAGGTCGTCGTGAACATTATCATTACCATCATTGTTATTATCATTATTATTGCGTTATTTAGTCGTCGAGCAGCCGGACGGCGGGTGAGCTGCTAAAAGGGGTCTCCTCCCTCTTTAATTAATTTCTGTAATTATTGTACGAGCTGTCCTCTCCGGTATACAATAATAATAATACTATGAGAGYGTTTGCCGATACACACGCGAATTGTTCGTCCGCGGGCATTATTGTTTCGTGCGAAATCTCTCTCTCCGACCTGCCACCCCACAACATCCCCTCTCACCCCATCCCCTACGCGTATGTCCGTCAACACCCTTTWCCGCACGTGGTGACGCGGTGTCACCTATACTATCCTCCAACCCTGTGGCCCACTGCAGTGTCGTCCGTTTACATACGTGGCTAAAATCAATTTGACGGGACACGCACCTCATGTATAGACAGCATTATATTATAGCACACAAACGGAAATACGCAGACCGCAAAC